TGATGCTGAAATCGCGTTCGGTGTGAACGCACCATTACCACTGTCCAAGGACTCCAAGAAGACCCTAACTGTCTCACCACTGTCCAAGGGCTCCATGAAGACCGTAACTGTCCCACCACTGTTTAAGTGCTCCAAGAAGACCCCAGCTGTCTCACCACTGTCCAAGGGCTCCATGAAGACCCTAACTATCCCACTACTGTTCAAGGGCTCCATGAAGACCCTAACTCTCCCACTAAAATACAGAAAATTGGTTCTGATACTCATGAACCACCAATGCTAAAGCTTGTCTTGAACTGGAAACTGATGGAACACCAGGACCCACTTCTACCAGTCCTTGCCCACCAGAGTCCCTGTCCACCAGTCTGTCTGTCCACTATGCCTGTCCACCAGAGTCCCTGTCCACCAGTACCCCTGACCCCTAGTGTCAATGTCCACCATCAAAGTTCTGAGCACAGCTACAATTTGGTTCTGAAGTTGACTCTGGAGGGAAACTCAACACAACAAGAGAATGTGTGAACTTGTAGTTCTGGTTTGTTCACCTTGTTGTAAACAGCTTCAGAGTCTGAAGCTGAATGTTTGCTAACAGCTCAATGTCTCCGCAGGGCCGTCCACTGTTCCTGCAGTCGTCCAGAAACGTCTCGGTCAACATCGTAAACAACAACAACCAGCTGCTCACGCAGCTTGTAACAGGTAAGACTCAGCAACGGCCTCACTGCTTTCATGTAGCCTTCTGATGTTTCTTAAATGTGATCCGACAGAAGCTCCGGTTCTGACAGTTCTAAAGTACTGTTTTAGACGCATTTAATTTTGTTTTTTTTAACTCTTCATGAATTTACCTTTCTTTTCCTGCTCCGAGTCTTTTTTGATACCTGTCCCCTCCTCTGCACCTGTCACTCTCTGAAAGAGTTCACAGCCTGTTGGTGAGTCGAGCTCAGGAAGTGTCTTTCAAATTAAGAGCGTGCCGACCTTTGCCTCCTCGCTGTGAAAGGGACGCTGGTGAATCACGCGCCAGTGTTTTTCCACGGATGAGCGAGTCGTGTTCTTGTTTAGGGAAGAAGTTCAGGTCCAGGATGGAGAGTGACACAATCAATTCTTCTGTGTGTCAATCATTCCTGCTTGACGGACGCAGAGTTTCCCGCAATTAGACTCTAATTTCAGCGGCTTTATTCTCATGTTTATTTATTTATTGTGAGAAACTCTTTCATCAACAAATTATATATGGTTGTCTGTGGTTTCAAGGCATTTCATCATATCTGCTGAGTTTTTTATTACTCTTTTGTGTATTCCTGTCTGCACCTTATATCGACTGACATCTTATATTTCCATCAGAATAAAAACTAATTAAAAGTAGCAAATTTCTACCTTAAATGTGTTAAAATCTGTTCCATTTGCATAATTTGTGCCGAAAAGTTTCAAATTGCTCTTCCTGTTTCTGCACAAACATCTCAGCTCTGTAAGATGTGTCCATTAAATGTACTTTAATTAAAAAACAGTCACAAAGTATTTGCTTTTCTAATTATTTTATTGAGGAAAACGATCCACATTGAGGAATAAATAAACTTTATCAGCAATAACTAAACACTTCCTCTTTCTGCACCATCAGCTCCGTCCAGTTTTAGCTAAACAAATCAGGTTCTAATCTGCAGTTTTAGATGATTTCCTCACATGAACTGCTGACTCCAGCTCCTTCCACGGCATTTCTATTGGATTGAGGTCAGGACTTTGAATCGGCCATTTCCAAACATTAACTGGATTCTTTTCAAACTGTTCTTTGGTCCATCAACTGGGGTGTTCGGCATCATTGTGTTGCTCTGTAAGCCACTTCCTGTTCATAAACTGTAGAATTACATGGTAGTATTATTCAGAAAGTATTATTCTGTGTTGACCTGGAAGTTTTAAAGAGTTTTCAGATGACCTTGTTGGCTTTTCATCTAGTCTGCCTCAAATAATCCAATTTTAAGTCCATTCATCACCAAAACTTTGTTTTCAAACTTTATATTTTCATAATTTTAAGGATATCAGTTTTTTTATTCACATTTTAGTTTTACAGGCTAATTTACATTTAGACACCTTTTACTAATTTGTAAGTTGTAAGGTGTTGCAAGAATTTTAAATTTTCAAAAAAATTGTGACCATTTRAAACCTTTCCCACAGAACAGACAGGTGAGGGCCAGATCTAGAGCCAAGCTGGCACTGCTGGCATGTGGGCCAGGTCTGGCAATGATGGCACTGTTTTGAAGAGAGCATTCCACAATTGTGGTTTGGCTTATATGGCTCAATTCTGTCAATGCCACAACTGGCCCAGTTTTAGTTAGTTTTTTGTATTCCTGGCCCATGCATGGATCACCTGTGGTAAACCACGTCTGGTCGGTGTTACATTGTGTGGGCCAGACTTGGACCAGACAAATTTTGCTATATAGATATATTTAGATTAAATAATTGTAGAACACTACAGTTTTATATTTTGGTGACGTGTATTCAAATCTTCTACAAATTTTCATTAAAACTCTTTGAAATTTAAAACAGTAAATCAGTGACTGTAAAACATCAAATCCAGGACACATTAAATCCTCTGAATGTATCTTTAGTTTTATTCTTTCAGAATAGTTTCAGTCAGATGTCAGGTGCAGCTTCAGCTCTCTGACATCTTCTCTCTCTGTGTTTGATTTAGGATCCAGTGGATTTAAAGCACAAGGCAAGATGTTTGAAGTCAAATCCACCTCTGGGAAGCTGCTCTTCTCTGCAGACGAGCAGGAAGTGGTGGTGGGCGCCGAGAGGCTCCGAGTTATGGGTGAGTGAGCAGCTGAAACATCCGGGTGCTCCAGTTGTTACAAAATCAAAGTGCTGAAATTTGATGCACTTGAACTGAAAAATTACTTCTTTTTTTCCCCTCCAATCGGTGCTTGAAGATTCTTTTAGGATATTTGTTTCTGATATCAGTCAAACAAAACTTAATGTAATTTTTACAGCATCTTAACTAAGAAATTTTAGCCACTGTACTTAACACTTCCTCAACAAAGGGAATATGTGAACTTGACAAAATATGGAAAGCAGTATAATTTACTGCTTCTTTATTGAGGGTTACGATTTTACAAATTCAAAGACTGCACTCAACTGTTGCCATTTAAAAGTACTGAAATTTGATTTATTTCATCTGAACAATCAACTTTTCCTCAGTTGTTTGACTTTTTATTATTATTTTTATTTATAACAGATAATAAGGTGATTTTTGTTACTTTAACAATGCTTTAATTTGATTTTTAGTGTCTTGGAAAGTATCAGTTTTAGCAGCAATAAAAACACTTTTTTATCAAAGGTAAAGCGTAAACTTGATACATTTTAATTGAAATTTGATGACAMATTTTAAGGTAAAATCTGTTGCTGAATTCAGTTAAAACCTACGGTAAGTACTTGAGTACCTGGTGATACATTTGGACACTCCAGCTGTTAAAAATGTTTACATCATGTGATAAAAGGGCTGAAGTTTGAATAAATATTATCTAGCCTGTTGTTGTTGTTTTATTTTCTGAACATATTTGTTGCTGTTATCTGTTTAGTGAAGCTTTAATTGTAGAATTTTACAGCTGGTTTATTGTTGTTCTGCTGATGTATTACGGTACATTTGCACTTTTTTGCACCGTCCTCAACACTTCCATAACAAKGCTGATGTGATGCGTAAAGCTGACACACATTAAATGCAAATCAGACTAATCTAATGCTTACATTAGCATTATAAGCAGTCAGAAGTGATAGGAGAGGGCCCTGGTCGTGTTTAAGAGCCCCGTGATGACAACATGTAGGAGAGGATGAGGAGGATTTTTAAAAATCTGTCTTTAGAGGAGGAACTGAAGGGGGGAGAAGGTCTGCAGGCCTTTAGAGAAATGAGTTTTGTGTTCCTGACAGGAGATAAGACATGACAGAGTTGTTTTAGTCGCTGCGACTTCCTGTGTGAGCAGAAACGTGTCACAAAATCACTTTTCCCCAACCAAAACAAAGCATCTGCATACAATTAAAGCTGCGAAAATGAACATTTTGTAGTGAGACGGGAAACGTAATCTGCCTGCAGGTGGTGACAGACTGAGGCTTAATGTTGACTTTCCCCTTTTCAAAAAGCCATGTCACAAGATTTCAGCATTAAATTAAATGGAAATTATAAAATTTGTTTGACAGGGAGGCCCAGTGTGAGGGTTATTACTGAGCTGTTGATCAAATTACCATATTCCCGAGCTATAAAAGGGAGAAATTATGCCGCCTGGACCCTGGGAGGTCAAAATTTCAACTAGAAAAGCTGAATAGATGATTTGCTAAGTAGGTGGACGGTTCAGTGCTTCTACAACCATCCGGTGGCTTCAGAGAGACTACAGAGATTCTTGTAAGTAATAAATTATCCCCGCTACTGAGGCTCGCTCTGCTCTGACATTCACACATTTCCTCTCCATGTTTTTTTTTTATTAATGAGCTGGAAACCCACCTGTAGCTGATTCACTAATGCAGTTTTAAAATGTGAGATTTCTCATTTATTTACCTTAAAAATAACAAATCTACTATCATTTACCTAGTGCACTCATCTGGAACGTCACTTATATTCCTCCTCCGTGCTGTTCCTCTGAAAGTGATGTAACTCAGGTGAACGAGAAAAGTGCATTTTYACTTTCTTTTTAACGAGGCAGGATGCTGAGTTTTTGCTACCAAGAGGAAATAAAACTCTGCAGCAGGGGACAAGCTCTGACTGGAAAGCAATAAAAGCAGAGAGGAAAGGGCTCAGATTGAAGGAATGCATGTCACTGCTACAGTTTCAAACTAAGATCTAGGGGTGTAGATCAGTTCATCACAATACGATTATATATCGTATCGTTTAGATGACGATACGATGTTTCTCTAAATCACTAAGTCTGTCATGATACGAACTATTCAATTTAATTCACAAGTCTGTAAAAAATATCTGTCTACATCAGGCATATGGTGACAATATGAATTGTTTTTGTTTTGCCTCGATGTAACTGAATCATTGTTCATTTAAATGATAAAAAAAGTATTGATACGTCGATGTATCGATACATCAATGTATCGATACATTTTTATCTCAAAATTTGATGTGGTGGTAGTTGAGTCATTCCCAACACAGACAAACAGATCTAACAATATCTTACAACATGGATACATCAATATATCGATGTATCGATACGTCAATGTATCGATATCGATACGTCGACATATCGATACGTCGATGTATCGATACGTCGATACATTGATGTATCGATGTTGTAAGATATTGTTAGATCTGTTTGTGTGTTTTGGGAATGACTCTCAACTACCACCACATCAAATTTTGAGATAAAAAAAATGGAAAACTGTCATCCTCAATTTAAAAAGACCACACAAAAAAGATCTGTCCGCACCACAATCATCCATCATTTCTTATACGTCGAGCATATTCTCCCTCAGCAGGATCTTTGTGAAGCAGCTCAGACATCCTGCAGGGAGGATAATTAAATCAAATCAAGTTTATTCATGAAGTGCATTTAAAACATCCAAAGCTCACCAGAATTAAAAAAAAAAACAACTCTTCGGTACAAAAACACAGAGAAAATCACGTTTAAGCAAGCAGAGCGTAAACTAGGTATTAAACTTTTTATCAAAAGATATAAAATTCAATTAAATTTTCCAAACAAATAAAGATTGTTTTAAATTTATTAATAAAGTACTTGCCTTGACTTTGTTTCCTTTATTAGGAGATATTAAATTAAAAAAAATCACAAAACACTAGTTTTAATCAGTAAGTTTGAATCTGGATTCAGAAGTCCTGTGTCCCATTTGAGCCTTTTTGGGGTTTTCAGTTTGAAAATATTCAAGAATAATATGTATATATGGAGGATGTTTGACAGGTTCAGCTGTTAAAAACAGCTGAAGATAAGCTGCTGTCTGTTCTTTTGTCCATTTGACGCCTGATAAGGCTGAAGAGGTTAATAAAGCTGCCACATGTCATTACCGAGCCCATCGTTCTGCCCCGACAATAAAAATACATAATCATCCTCTGCGAATGTCTTTAATTGGCCCAGCTGAGGTCATTGGAAATCCATGGAGCTGCTATCTCTGGGCTCTGCAGATATTTGCAGTTCAGTCAGAAACACTGAGCAGCTTCCAGCAGAGACGAGACGAGAATTTAAACAAACACCAGGAATATCGTCATCAGCTCTGTGGAATTCTATCAGAAATATGATTTTTTTGATTCAGTTTGACAGAGGAGAATGAAATGACTCAGCCCGCAACTTAAAAGGATAATGGAGGACAACAGAGCTGATTCATGAAAGGCTCARCTCAGCTTTAGCCTTTTAGCTTTGAGCATACATTTACATGGTAAAATGTCATTAGTTACTGAGCTAATATGGCTTTAGCTCCTGTGCTAATTTGGCAATACATGGCGTTAGCTCCAGAGCTTATATATACAGTGTATGGCAATATATGTCATAAGCTCCTGTGCTAATTTAGCTTTGTCGCTAATGACTTATGTATGGCATTACCCCCTAAGCTWATTTACTAAACGTTACGCTTGATTGTTTTATCCCATATATGGATGTAGAACATAGAAACTATTACAAAATATACATTTTTTGTCAAACAATATAGCTTTTAGTTTTGACTCTGTGTTTTAGTCTAACTTATTAATGCCAACATGTGAAAGTAGTTGAAGAACCTTTAAGAAATTAAAACAGAATTTAAATGTTACAAATAACAAAAACACATGGAAAGCAATCCATCCAATGACCTCTAGTGTATTTTTTGAAATAAATGCTATTATAGGTGTAGTCAAGTTCCTTTTCATGAGGGTTAAATAAATATCTGCAGTGCAGCACCTTGCAACAGCAGCAGTGGTTTTTAAGTCACTGGGTCAGCCGATATTCCCCGAACAAATTTTTCTGCGAGCTGCACCCGCTCAGACCCGCCTCGAATCGAACTCCAGTTCCAAAATAAGCACTGCTCACTCAGGCGATGAGTGCCGATGGTTTTCCCCACAGAGCTTAGAGAGGGAGCGGCGAAGCAGCCGACTGTACTGATAAATACAGTATACAGCTCTGAGCAAAGAGTGGGCAAGGCCAGAGGTACTTAAATTTCACAGGCAGAGAGCAAAGACAACAGCCGGCTTAATGCCCAGGATTAGTGTCTTGTTAACATCAGGAATCCAGCAGGAGGAAGCCAGGTGGGGATCTGTGTGTAAATCATTTAAAAAGTATTAATCTGATAAAATTCAGTTTCTTTGGGAAAGGATAAAACTTCCCTAACAAAGTGGCAAAACGTCAATGTACTTTTTTAAAATTTCATAATAAACTCTGACATTATTTGTTGGGTTACAATGTTGGCAACTGAACTGGTTTGATTTTGTTTTCACACATTTACTTTCAACCTGTGTCAGGGTTGTAGCTCACTCTTAATTTGAGATGTTGGTAAAATTCAGCAAGTTCTACATAGAGGTTTTCAGCTAAAGTCAATAATGTGAAGTATCAGTGAGTCCAACTTAAAGCCACCTAACAAACTCAATCCATCAATTGAAGGCATTCTAACCAATCCAGCCCAATCAACCACCTTAATGCACCTAAACCAACCAACCAACCAACCTACCAATTTAATCTACCAATTTAAGATAATCTAACCAGTCCAACCCAACCAACCACTTTAGTGCAAGCCCAACCAGCAAACTTAAAACAAACTAACCAATTTAACCTGTCAATTAAAGTCAGTCTAGTCAGTCTAACCCACCAACCAACCAACCAACCAACCAACTAACRAATTTAG